GTGTTTGATAAAAAAATGATTTTTGATGTAATAGATTATTAAAATACAAATATACCCCCAAATCAAATAAAGAATCAAAAAATCAATGATAGAGACAGAACTCTACCACTCTACTCGGACACCTGCACTGCCTTTTGGCTTCTTCCCCAGTACCCCCATTTGCTTCTATTATAGGATGCCATGGTATGTTTTATATACTCATATATACTTATATATATACATATACACTCAAGGATCCGAACTCAAAAGACGGAAAGAGAGTCGAGGTGACTGCTGCAGCGCTAAGATGAGTGCCTTGGCTGGTGGCCATGTCGAGGATAGTGATAAATGGCCAGGACACCGACTACAATGGTGGCGGATGACGAGTTTCCGACGCGGCAATGGTGTGGATGGTCATCTCTGCAAGCCAAGCTCATAAGGGATTTTAGAAGCACGAATAATTGATTGGGATGGGTATTTTGGGGTTTATGGAATTTGTTTAGTTAATAACTAGCCTAAAAGTTTGTATTTATTTACCAAAGAACCCCAGAAGCAGATAGAAGCACCTCTTGAGAAGCTTTTAGCTTTTGGTCTAAAAGCACTTAAATTTAAGCAAAAGCTTCTCAATGCAAACACCATTTTCGGATTCTGTGAAGCTAAAAGCAGTAAAAGTGCTTTTTTAAGCTCCCGCAAACACAGCCTCAGACTTTCATTTAATTTTGATTGGTTTTTTCAATTTGGATCAATTTTAGCATGTTATGGTCGGTCTTTTTAATTCAGACATTTTCAAATCCCATGACATAAACCCAACTATCTAGGATGACGCCAGTTTTGATCGTTTTTTATTAGGTTTATTATTACCATTGAAACGGTCTTTAATGTGGACCTATTATTAGTTATCAGATCAAATATGTGATTGAAATGTACTTGTGTCCAATTCTCCCTTTTATTGTTTGTATATCACATTTTAGTATTGTTAGTATAAAATATTATTTCAAAACTTTATTATATATTTAAGATTCTTTCGAAAGTGTTAACATATGTGTTCCAATGTAAAAAAAATATTAACTTTTTGCATTCTTTGCACTACAATATTACATATTTCGTATGATGATAAATAGTTCAAAATTACAAAATAGTGAATTTAATTTTATTAAGGTTAAACAAATTATTTCAAAAAATATAACAATGTGTTCAAATTTTCACAACAAGATTAAAATTAGTATTTATGAATTCGAAGTGCTTCATTTACAACGGAAAATGATAATTTTTCAATTTAAAATTAAAGAGTTAATATTTTAACGTAATAATACATCTTTATTTTTTAAATTTCGAATTTATATTTTATTTTTGTGTTTTTTGAAATTTATTTTATCTAAAGTCAATAAGGGTAAATTCGCTTCTTTATAAGAACATGACGAGTATTTTTGCACCTTTTAAAAGTTCAGGGGTATATATGCACTTCAACATATACTTCAGGGGTATATTTATCCTGAAAAATAAAACAAGAGTATATTTGTTCTCACAACAATAGTACATGGTATATTTGTACCTTTTTCTCTATTTTTCTGATACATTGTCGTGAATATGGCTACGTTGAAGCCCATAATTTTGACACTTGTTGGGCTGGACCTTGAAAAGGGGAAATTATCGTTGAAGTCCAAGATATTCAATTATTGGAAAACGCATGAATGGTTGTTTATGATTTGAGTAGAAAACGATAAACACATAAATATTTCGATCATAAAAATTGTTCATATACATGTGCATCCGGTGCTTTTTCCGATTTTTAGGAGTGTAAGACACAAAATCAAGGAATTAGTCTTTGAAAAAATGTTGTTAATACAAAAAATAAGGCAATTAAACAACTACAGAGTACCTTATACGAATATTTGAATTCAAATTCAACATTTATCCTTTCTTATTTCGTACGAGATCACGTAATTTTGTTAAGGCATAAGAGATCCTTTAATTTCAAATTTACATCCATTAAATTTCAAGATTTTAGACTTCTTTGTTAGCCATGTTCATAGGGTCTTTGACATAGTAACAAGTAACAACTCAACATGATCAAGTAATTGGACTGAGGATAAAAATGATTCAGACATAGAATACATGTTTAACCAAAATCAAAGCCAAAGTTTTGCCAAATCTAATAGTATATGAAGTACTTTTACATTTGCCAACACACACCATTAAATTAATTATATTTAACTATGTAATACTCCATATAGTAGTAAACATTACTCGTATAAAAAATTAATATTTTGCAAACTCTCGTTAATAGAAATTAAAAATTGTATGCATAATAACTTGATTGTATGTATATAGCATATATTAGTAGAAAATCATGTTAAAGTATGATAGATGTGTGGATAATGTAAATATTAAATTGTTGTAATTACTAAAGAACACAGCAAATATGTAGTACGGAGTATTAATTGAAGCATCCAAATGGCCAAATGTGCAATTGATTAAAAAAAGAGAAAATTGTCCAATTGGACTAAAACTCAACTTTTTTCTCAAAATAGGACCACATGCATGTTTTCTCTAAATAGGATTAACCTTACCTTTTTTACCCCTAATTCTATTTAAATAATTAATTGATCTAAATAATTGCCCCCCTAGTTTCCTTGCACAACCAAGGCAGTCCGTCGGTGGCGGGGCAGTCCGTGGTGGCGGCAGCACTCCGGCAGCGGCCGACGGCGGATTCCGGCGGCGGCGGCAGCAACTCCGGCAATTAATAAACCCAATTAATTGCCCCCGTAGTTCTCTTGCACAACCAAGGCAGTCCGTTGGTAGCGGGGCAGCCCGGAGGTGGCGGCAGCGGAAGAGGCGGTTTCCGGCGGCGGCGGCAGAATGTTGTCAAACCTCCAGAAAAAAATCTGGATGTTTTCCGGCGGCGGTCGCCGGAGCTCCGCCGGCGGCGGCCGACGGCAGCAGGCGGCGGTCCGGCAGTCCCTGGGTAGCTGTGGTAAAGGTTGTGAGGGGGCCGCATCAGCCCATGGGTCGCATCGGCCATGGGGCCGCATCGGCCATAACGTACCGACTCGGCCAGGCTCCGGCCTGGTAGAATGTGTTTTCTCATCTTATTTATTAAGTGTTGTACTCAGCCCATTAGTGACTCTATTTCGCCCAAAGAAGGCATGATTATTATAATGGGCCTCCTAAGCCCAAGGCTAGGGGCCCAAATCCACATTTTTACCTATAAATGGACCCCAAGGGGCTAGTTATAGGGGAGTTGAGAAATATTAATTACTCACTTTCTCTTTCTAACTCGCACTTCTCTCTAGAAATGAAATACTTCATCAGTTTTGCTATATAAAAAAAAACGAGCTCTATATCCCTAAGCTAGTCCATTTTAATTAGCTAGCTAGATTTGAGCTCTAAAATTGTTATTATTGTGAGGATCTTTATCAACCAGATAAGTTACTCTTTTTTTACAATAACAACTTGATTCACTTCATTATTAATAATAATGTTCGTAATACAATTAGGGAAAAAAAAATCCATATGTAAGAAGCAAAATTAGCAGATACCCTCTAAAAAAACATAAGCACATCAGATATGTTACTCTTTAACATTAGTAGAAAAAAAATTAATAGGACTCCTTTCATCCTAGACGGGATCCAGACCCCACTTAAATAGATTATACTAGACCAAATCAGATCAGATCAAATCAGACAAACAAAATTTCAAAAGTTGTAAAATACACATGAAGCATATATCTGTCATACCAAATTAGACTAGTTCAGATCATACCAGCTGATGATACTCAAACTATACACACTAGGTCAAACAAGGTTAATTAGAAAATTCCAGTCCAATTGAAAACATCTTATTTAAGGAAAATTGTGAAGCATGTTACCTCTATATTTTAATACATTTGTTTTTTAAAAATTGAATAGTTTCCATCTTTTAAATGTGACTAACATTTTCTTAATGAATATGCTTTAATTTCTTTTAATTATAACTCATATGTATTCATTGGTGTTGCATTTCTTACATGGCTGAAATCAGTAAATAATTACATTGCATTTCTTACAAACACGACTTAAACCTAAATCATTTACAAATAGGACCAAACATTAATTTTCTACCCTTATTCTAATTAATTGCCCCCTAGTTCTCTTGGACAACCGGGCCAGTCCGTTGGTGGCGGTGCATTCTAATGATGATGGCGGATTTTTGACTAATACTCATACTTGTGATTTTTTACTACTCTCAGTCTCTTTTAGGGTATGTTTGGCACAACTATCTGAGAAGATACTTTTGTGAGCTTTTTAATACTCCATCTGTCCCTTTTTGGTTTGCCTAACTCAAATTTTCAAGTCAAAGTTGTTCAACTTTGACCGATTATATATTCATACACGTTAATATTATTGGTAATAAGAAAATTATATGAAAATGCTTTTTGTTGAAAATACTATCATAAAAGTATACATTTATTAACTTTTACATAAATATATTAGTTAAAATAATGGATCCAAGTTTATCATCTTTGACTGGAAAAGTCAAAGTTGGCAAACTAAAAAGGGACGAAGGTATGTAGTAACTGTTAGTCTGTTAGCTTTTAGTGACTGAAAAGACCTTAAAAAGAAAAGGTGGTAGTTGTTTGGTAAAAAGCTGACTGTTTGATTTAGTTCGGTTTGGATACAAGTTGTTAGGACTAATTAGTACTAAAAGTCACAGAATTTTCTCAGATGCTACTCCTCGTAGCATCTAAAAAAAGATCTTTTAATTTTATAAAAGTTCTTAAAAATTGTCATGCCAAACATACAACTAGAAGCTTTAATTTTAGAGACTTTTTGAACAGTACAAAAGCTAGTAGGCAGGGACGTATGCATGTCCTATTTAGATAATTCATGGGAAAATAAGACATATATATACAAATCAGGCTGACCTTAGTGAAAACTTCAAGGTTAATTAGGCCATTGATGGTGGAGACATATATATATGGAACGTGTGAGGATATATATACCACGCTATGTATATGTTGTATAATGTATATGCACGTACACTTAGCTAGGTACATATAGCTAGTAAAATCAAGAAGCTAGCTAATTAAGGGGGGATTAAATTAAAGATGGAACTCAACTACTTTTCGTCCTCCAGCTCCAACATACCCTTTATCATCATCTTCCTCTCCCTATCAACAATTGCTTTCTCCTTCCTACTATCCACAATAGGAAAGCTGATCAACAAAAAACCACTCCCACCAGGTCCATGGAAACTGCCCATCATTGGGAGCCTGCACCATCTAATAGGTGAACTCCCACACCGCTCCCTCACAAGATTATCAAGAAAATACGGCCCGCTGATGCATTTACAGCTCGGCGAAGTGCCCGCCATCGTCGTTTCGTCCCCGGAGATGGCGAAGGCCGTGACGAAAACCCACGACCTTGCCTTCTCCAACAGGCCAAGGCTCATGGCCCTAGACTTGGTCTTTTACAAATGCACCGACATCGCCTTCGCCCCTTATGGGGATTACTGGAGGGAGATGCGCAGGATATGCATTTTGGAGCTGTTGACAGCCAAAATGGTCAAATCCTTCGGCTCAATCCGGCAGGATGAGCTTCGCAAACTCGTCTCCTCCGTTACCGTATCGTCATCATTATCGTCATCGTTGTCTGTCGTGAACGTGATGAAAAAGGTGATGTGGTTTAACAGCTCTATGACGTGTAGGGCCGCGTTTGGGAGAATAAAGCTGAGCAGTAGAGATAAGGAGAAGTTGATCGCAAAGGTGACGGAGGTGCTGAGCTATGCCGGAGGGTTTGACGTGGCGGACTTGTTTCCGTCCCGGAAATGGATCCCTTACGTGTGTGGGAGCAGGTCAAGGTTGCTGACACTGCACCGTGGGCTGGACAAAATTTACGAAAGCATGATCGAAGAACATGAAGAGAACACGACGTGCAGGTCAAATGAGGAAGAAGAAGAAGACATCGTTGATGTTTTACTCCGAGTGGGGCAGGTTGGGGAACATCGTTTGACTCGGGACAACATTAAAGCTGTCATCAATGTGAGCTATTTGTTTCCTTAATCTTCATACTCGTACTACATACTCCCTCCTTTTTTTTCAATTAAGGGAAAATTATTAACTAAAACTCATTGAGATTCTCAATTTATGACTACATTAGTTTTTTTCGAAATAAAATTTAAATTCATCTTATTTAATTAATAAATAAATACTACGTAGGATTTTTTATGGACTAATATGCCCATTGATATTATAAAACTTTAACTTTCTATGCATTTTCTAAAATACCTAGCCACTAGCCCATCGCCATGCATGTCTATGCGCCTACCCGAATCCGTCTTCGTGTCTGCTTGCCGCAGTGCTGCCTCCGCCTTTGTGCCTGTGCGCCGCCGCCTCCGTCCTCATGCCGCGCCGTCGCTGTCGATCCCATACCGTGGCATCGCGACCGTCCCCATTCATAGCGCCTACCCGTGGCCGCCGCTGCCATCTCACTTGTCGCGGTTGTCCCCATGTTGCGGCTTCGCCACTATTTAATTTATATATATATATATATATAATTAGGGTTTGTGAATTTAGGGGTTGTGATCATGGGCAGTGTGAACGTGGCAGTAAATATGGGAAGTGAAAATGGCAATAGATAGTGTTAAATATGGACAGTGAGCATGATATTAGATAGTGTTGTACATGGGCAGTGAATCAATGCATTGATGAAGTGTCTTGTGCATTGAATCGAAGGTAATAGAGCAATAACGACAACACAAGATGTAATATATTTTATTGGACATAAAATACTAATTTAAAGTTATTGCAACTTAAAATAAATAAATACAAACTATAAAGAAATTCCTAACGTGGATGAAAAGAGAATTGATGATGGTGGGAATGTAGTGATTCTTACCGGATGTGCTATAATATCTTGCAATAATGTTGTGCAGTAAATGCAATATAAAGTGCAACAATTTTTATTGGACAAAAATAGTGTAAAATGCACATTTTTTAAGTAAGTGTATTTTGATCATTAAACATTTAATATCAACGATTTTTTCTTTTTATTTTTGTTTTTCAATCATACGAATGTCTAAAAACACAGGTAGTCATATTTAGGGAAACTCAATATGTTTTAGTCATATCCCGGGAAATTTCCCTTTTATTTAATCAAATTTGACTTGTTAAGTCAATTATATCTAATTTTGATCAGTTATATACTTACACACATAAATATTGATAATATGAAAATGATATGAAAGTGTTCTTTATCAAAAAATACTATCATAAAAGTAAAAAAGAATTATTAAATTTTACATAAATATATTAATTAAATTAATTGGTCAAACTTTACTATCTTTGACTAGAAAAGTCAAAGATGGCAAAATAAAAGGGACGAAGGTAGTATTGTTTACGCCATTAAATTAATACCACACACGAGAAAATTTCTTACATAGGACTAAAACATACTCGTAGATAAAAAGCACATATAGGATCATCATTGTTTTCTTTCTAAAATAGATAGTATGACTTATTTACTCCTAACAAGTTAAGGGAAGTTTTATACTTTTAATAGGATCAAATAAGTCCTCTTTTGCAAATAAATCACATATAGTCCTATTTGTGCACTTTATTTAAGTTGTAGTCCTATTTAGAGCCATTTTTTTTAAGTGTAGAGTATAGTGGGGGTGATTGTAATACTTGAGATTAATTTAAAGAGATTAATAGTACTACTCATACCAACAATGTGTATCTCCTTTTAAGGAAGCTCATCAACTAAAAAACTAAGTTACACTGGGCTTCAACCCACCATAGCCTATACATAGATCCTCCCGGCCATGGGTCTTACTTGCATTTGCCCCATGATTTTAAAAGCAATGCATACATGGTCTTTTTTTTTCACTTTGAGAGCATATTTTCTCTTATTTGGGTCATCTGATATGCTGGTATTTATGTTCAACAATTCTTTTTGTACACACAATTTATACACATTTCGCACACATTTGTACGTAATTGTTTGTGTGCGTAGACAATGTAGCACGAGCTACCTTTGTACACAGACAACTAGGGGATGTACACAATGTCTGTCTGCACAGACAAATACGTACGTGCAAAATGTTTCCAAATTTGGTATTGAAGCAGCTTTGTTCATTTATGTTTGAAGCAAATCAAAATGTGACTTTAATTTGTATATTACATGCCGCATGCATGCAGGACCTATTCTCAGCTGGGAGTGAAACAACTGCGACAACTGCAACTTGGGCAATGTCCGAGTTGATGAGGAACCGGTGTGTGATGGATAAGGCACAAGAGGAGGTCAGAAGCACCATAAATGGGGGAAAGACGACGGCAGCAACCTCATTTGATGATGATGAAGTGGAAAAGCTAACGTACCTAAAGCTGGTGATCAGAGAGACTTTGAGGTTGCACCCGCCCATCCCGCTCCTACTCCCAAGAGAAAGCAGCGAAGAAATAGTGATCGGCGGGTTCACCATACCTCCCAAAACAAGAGCCATTGTGAATGCTTGGGCTATCGGAAGGGACCCTGAGGTCTGGGAAGATCCAGAGGCTTTTTGGCCTGAGAGGTTTATGAATAATAATAGTTCTGCGGCGGCGGTGGAGGCGGATGTGCATGGGAATCATTATGAATTGTTGCCGTTTGGGGCAGGGAGAAGAGTGTGCCCTGGGGTGCGCTTTGGGTTGGCTAATGTCACCCACTCTCTGGCCGCTTTGTTGTACCACTTCGACTGGGAACTGCCTCCTGGAGTGACAACTGAAAACTTTGACATGAGTGAGACCATGGGGTTGAAGGCCACCAGAAAGAAGGATCTTTGCTTGGTTGCCAGGCCATACACCCATTCTTCACTTCAGCATCTCATAGAGTGATTGATATGATCAATCTTTATTATATATATTCATGCATCCATGCATTTCCCTACATGGCCTCTAGAAGAAACCGAACTTAGATGTAGCTAGTAAACCAAATATAATTATATATATATATATATATATATATATATATATATATATATATATATATATATAGGGAGCGGTTCCGGTAAGAACGGATCTTATGAGAAAAATGAGAACGAATCTGGACCGTTGGATTGAATTATGTGGAACTGAATTGTGCATTTGGTGAAACCGAAATGTGCATTAGATGATATTGAAATGTGCAAAATAAACATTTAAACTCACATGTGCATAAGGTGAAACTGAAATGTGCAGAATAAAAGGTACAAAAATAACATCACATCGTACTTTTTATTCTGCACATTTTAGTTTCATCTAGTGCACATTTCAAGTTCACCTAATGCACAATTTAGCTTCACATAATGTCACTACATTGTAACCTTTGTGTTGCACCTTTCAATTTCACCTAATACACATTACAGCTTCATCTAATGCACATTGAATTTCACATAAAACAAATCTAACGATCCAGATTCGTTCTCATTTTTCTCATAAGATCATGTTCTTATTTGAACCAAAACCTATATATATATATATATATATATATATATATATATATATTGTTGAAAATGATCCAACCTGATCATGCATGGGTGCATGGATATGTAGCACTGGCTTCATTTGTTATTTATTCACTTATTATCATTTGAATAAGTCTAAATGTTATTACCTATTGTTTAGGAGTCATTATCACTTAGTTGGTTAAGTTGTTGAGCACGTTTAAGTGTGGCTACAAATTACGAAGTTGTTATTTACTTTGTGTGGTTAATATTCCATGTAAAATGGCTATATTAAGCCTATATGGTTTTTCATTCGAAATATTTGAGCTTTTGATTGCCTTTCTTCTCCTTCTTCTTCGTGTATATACGTTCATAGCATTCTCCCACATTTGGAATCAGAGCAAGTGATAGATCAGTCCAATATACACAAAAGAAAACAAAGAAAAACACCCAAATATGCAAAGCTCAGCAAATGGAAACTCAATCAATCAATTCCCTTGTTTAAAGGGATTAATTATCATTTTTGGAGCTTGAAAATGAAGAGCCTCTTCAAGTCACAAGAACTATGGAGTATGGTGGAGGAAGGGTTCGTTGATGATCAGCCTGAGGGGGCTGATCAAGCCCTTCGAGAGAAAAGGAAGAAAGATGCAAAAGCCCTTTTTCTCATTCAGCAAGCTCTACATGATGATGTATTTCCATGCATAATTGTTGCATCCTCTATCTCACACGGAGCTTGAAGTATTCTCAAGCAAGAATACTTATGAGATAAGAAGGTGATCATGGTCAGATTGCAATCTCTCAGGAGGGAGATGGGGAACTGATGTTAGTTTTCTCGCACTTAAAAAGATTGTAGAATAGTGGTGAAAAGTACAAGTATCCTCTCCACAGGGACGGACAAAAGTGAATTAAAGATTAACTAAATTATGCGATTAAAAATAAATAAAATAAATGCATCGTGCGAGATATGATTGGTTGCTGGAAAATTAAACTAATGCAGATTAACGAATAAAAATAAATTTCGTTTCTTCTTAATTAATGACGAAGGGAACAAGGATTGATTCCGGGGTAACGAGATTTCTTGCAGATCAGGCATAATTACATGAATTTAATTTTATTGAGCTCAGCTAATCATTACTAAGTTCTTACCGCTCTCGCGGCGTAGAGTACAATAATTTAGGGGACCAGGCTGATCTCTCATGCGACAGGATCCTAAATTATTGCCAATACGAGAGAGCTTACGGCCCCTTAATCGCTACTAATCTCTTAGCGAACAATTAAGTATGTGTGTGAATGTGTCCTAGAATAAATTAGATCTCTCTTAACTTATTCTACAAGCAATTGTAATTCTAGCGCGCGTTCTAGTTTACAAAAGATATCAGTTAAATTATTCAAACACAAATTAAACGGCATTCATGCAATTAAACCTACAAGAATCTAGCCATCAATCATGATTAACCCCTTCATGCATCAACCCCAAATCCCTAATTAAACTACTCACAATTCATAATTGAATAATCAATAGAATTGGGATGAACAGAAATAATTATCATTAATTAAAAAGATGAACTTACAAATAATCCCAGGGTCTTGGAGTAAACAATCGTAAAAACGCAAGTAAATTCGTTCTTAGGCCTCTCTGTAATGTTCGTAACACTACTTAAACAGGAGAATGGAGACCTTATTTATAGAAAACATATAGTTTGGGCTGAACTGGGACTAAAGAGGGGCTGAAATCCGCGTTTCGGGAGTACGCATGATCGTGCGTACCCTGCCACGCATGATCATGCGTACATGGCAGTGGCTTTCTTCCGTTTTCGCCTCGGACACATGATCGTGCGTTCCCCTACACATGGTGTGCGTCAAACTTCCGAATTTGACAAAACTTCCTTCAAGAGAGTTGTAGATAATGAAGTCAGTCCTCTATCCACCCCAACTTGCGGAATTGGATTTGAATCATCCAATCAAGAGATATGATCAAAATGGTGGAAGGTGTCATTCTGAAATCGCAACAGAGATCATCTGACTTCATCGTCTGTTTTCACCTTCTTGATCTCATATTCTCGTAATGGTGTCTTCATATGATTTGTATCCCTTGAAGTTGGATTTCATATAAAACTTGAATCGTGTCCATCGGTGGTTTCTACAAAGAGATGTGCTTGAACGATTGACAGAAGGTCATCCTGATCGTCGTTTTCAAGCTTCATTCATCTTCTTTTGATCCCGTAGTCAATCCTATAGCTCTTTTGTCATCAAATCTTCATTGTAAACCTCTCGGTGACCTCCAAAGCTCTCAATCCACTCTCGAATGCATCTCGAATCATCCCGATTGCTCCTCAAGCGCCGGTGCCAAACTCTAAATTCCTGATTTTGACTCCAAATGACACAAAACTCGAACCAACGCCTGCTAAACATTACTTGAGCTAAAATTGAGACTTGCAACACCTTAAATCTAGGAAAACCATCAAAAGCCTATCCCAAGCACACATCAAATGCGTGTCTAAATATGGACTTATCAAGAACACACGCATGAAGGATAAGGAGTCAGTTCAGGACTATTTATCAAGGATTACATCCTTGGTTCAGCAAATGAAGTCCTGTGGAGAAGAAATTAAATCCCAGCAGGTTGTAAGCAAGGTAATGAGAAGCCTTACACCCCAATATGGACAGCTTATGTGTGCTATTGAAGAATCTAAAGATCTAGAAACCTGCACCTTTGAAGAGCTTAAGGGATCTCTTCAGGCTTATGAAGAAAGAAACAATAGTGAGGCTGAAAAGAGTGTAGAACAAGCTTTTCAAGCCAAGAGTGAAGCACCTAGTGGTCAAGCCTTCCATTTTCCAAGAAGGGAAAGAGGAAGAGGTAGAGGTAGAGGAGGCTTCAGAGGTGCTCATGGTGGAAGAGGCAGAGGAAGAGGTTCCTCAAGCCATGAAGGTAGACATGGTGGTTCTAAACCTCCCATTAAGTGTTACTACCGTAACAAAAATGGTCATAAAGAAGCTGAATATTGGATAAAGAACCCACATCTAGCTCCCGGAACTACAGATTATAGGTCTAATTATGTTGAGCAAGAACAATTGTTTATTGATCATCATAATTCAGATCATGATGGAGGAACAGTTTGACACATTGATAGTGGTTGCTCAAACCACATGCAGGATCCAAAAGTATGTTCCAACATATTGATGACACTAAGAAGGGTGTTGTCAAACTATGAGATAGCAAGAAACTTGAGGTGGAAGGTCTGGGAGTGATCTCTATACACACGGCACAAGGAAGGAAGAAATCATTGTCCAATGTGCAATATGTTCCACACCTAGCACATAACCTGCTCAGTGTTGGGCAATTGGTGTCAGGAGGCTACTCAGTTTCTTTTCCAGATGGAGTATGTGCAATCAAGGATGACAGCATAAATGAAGTCTTGCTGAAGGCTGAAATGGGAAAGAACAAGTTATTTCCCATGGACCTGACATCAACTTGTGGCAAAGCTTTGGTGGTCAAGGAAGAAGAGAATGCTAAAATATGGCATCTAAGGTATGGTCATTTAAATATGACTAGTTTGCAATTACTCGGTGTTAGAGGCTTTGTTAGGGGCCAACCTAGCATTGGTAAACTGGAACTATGTGAAGGGTGTAAATATGGGAAGCAATCTAGAGTTTCTTTTCCCATTGGAGGGTCATGGAGAGCTAGTGAATCTGCTCCATGCTGATCTTTGTGGTTCAATGGAGACTGAGTCATTAGGAGGTAGTAGATACTTTCTAACGATCACTGAAGACTTCAGCAGAATGTCTTGGGTCTACTTTCAAAAGACTAAGTCTGAAGCCCTTGAAAACTTTAAGAAGTTTAAAGCATTAGTTGAGAATCAAACTGGGAAGTCAGTCAAAGCACTTAGAACTGATAGAGGAAGTGAGTTCAATTCAAATGATTTTACTTAATTCTGTGATAACTATGGCATTAGAAGAGAGTTTACTGCACCCTATACCCCAGAGCAAAATGGGGTAGCTGAGAGGAAGAATAGAACAGTTGTTGAGATGGCAAGGAGTATGCTCAAAGCCAAGAATCTGCCAGCCAAAATCGCACAGCTTTTGAAGCCTGGAGGAAGAAAAGACCCTCAGTAGGTCATATGAAGGTGTTTGGATGTATAGCCTACACTCTTGTGAATCTGAGAACCAAGCTAGAAGACAAAGCACAGAAGTGCATATTTGTGGGGTACTCAACTCAGTCTAAGGCCTATAGACTATACAACCCTCTTACTGAGTAGATCATTATCGGTAGGAATTTCATTTTTTATGAAGATGCAGCATGGGATTGGGAAAGATGCTAAGCAAGAAGCTCTAAAACCCAAGATTTTGAGTCTTGATGATCAGCCTTCACTGCAGCCTTCATCTTTTATTTTTAATGTAAAATAGCTAACCTTTCAATTATATCATTAAATCATTAGCCACTTGGCTCATTATAATCAATGGCAAAGACTCTTGAAAACTCCTATTATCTGAACTTAAAATGGTAACTCT